AGCCAAGGCCAGACCCACTGGTGACCTTGATGGAAAATCCTGGCAAGTGCCAAATGCTTCCTTCTAGTCTGGCCACTTTCCTGGAAGTCTTGGAGAGTTTTATCAGGGGGGGAAAAAAAAAAAAAAAAAAGCATAGACTTTGAGCTTGGTTATCCTTGCCTTTCCTCAGAAAGGAAGGGACAGACAGTTTTTTGGGCTTCCTTTTATTCTGATTTAAAAAAAAATATTGTGGGGAAAAAATGCCTGCTGATGTCTTTCTTTGTAGAAAAGCTTTCCTCCAAGTCAAACAAGCCCATTTGACTAGAATGCTCATTTGACTGAGCCTAAATAAAAAATGATAGCAAGAAATATTCCTCTGTCAGCCAATGGCTTGGCTTGGTGTCCTTTGGCTTTGTTGTCCTCCAGAGTGATGGACAGGCCCGTGTCCCTTGTCCTGTGGCAGTGACGCTGTCTTGCTGCGGCTGCTGTTCTTCCTTGTGCGGAGAAGGACGTGGCTGGTGCTTGTAGCAACRAGGTCCCTTCTCCTCTGAGTTCTCCCTGTGGTCCCCATGGGATAGGGCTGATTTATGAATTGCTGGTGATATAAATTTCTGAGCTGGCTGTGGCTCTGGGGCTGCGTTGCAGGGCTGTGAGGGGCTGCTGATGGGATCCTGCCCTGAAATACTGTTTCATTTGGTAAATGCTACTTCAGAGGCACATTTTTAATATAACCAAAGTGTGCTTCCTTTGAGCAAGTGCAGCAGAACGTGTGGAGATGTGGTTTTGGGGTAAATGCACCACCCTTGYGTTGATTTGCCATGGTCTGTTCCCATAGCGGAAGTTTATTTTTTGCATAAAATGATCCCTTGCACCTGTTCCTGGAAAGAGGTTGAGTTTCCCCGCTCCTTGGAAAACCAGAACGGCAACCAAGCCTGGCCTAATCTTGGCTTTTGTGGGTCCCTGTGCAGGGTGTAATGTGAGGGAGGGAGCCCTTTTGCTGAGCCCCTGTGTGGGGAAATGCTGAGTTTTCCCTATGAGAATCCCAGTGGGATGTGTGGTGGGCACCACCGTGGTGGAGCTGGCACAGGCCCTGGTCACCTGCATTGGCAAGAGCAGCACTGGTGCTGGGCAATGCCTTCACCCCAAGATAGCACCAAAATGGGTTTGTGAACTGCCTGTTTCCTCCTTCCTGAGGCTTCACTACCCCTCTCTTTGCTTCATCCTGATAGTTTCCCCAATCCAGCTTCAGCTCCTGCGTTTTGGTCCTGTTTTACTAGTTGGCAACAAACTGCCCTGCAGTCCTGAGGTGAGCTGAACCCTGGGTGCCTTGCTGCTGGYGTCCAAGGTGGCCGGTCCTTGAAACCCCGGCTCTGCAGCCTCCCCTGCCCCTGCTTCTCCATGTTCTTCCACACTTCACTCCAGTGGCAGCTAAATGTGAAAAACGCTAATCTCCAAGTTGGCCCTTGCAGATGGGAATGCTTTCCTTGTGTGCTGAGAGGGCCCGGGATTTGCTCRGGGGAAGAGAGCGCATGAAAGGCTGTCCTCGCCGTGCAGCGTGCTGCCGTCCCCATGCTCAGGGCTCCTATTTCTGCAGGAGGGGGGGATCGCCCTTCCCGGGGCCACCTGTGCCCATCTGTCCCTCTGGGCCGGCCCCGGCGCCGCTCTCGGGAAGTGCCTCCCTCGGGCTCCTCTGGGCACCACGGTTTAACGGGGCTCTGTGCGGGGATGGAGCGAGGGCAGCGTGCCGGGCGCGGGGTGGGCGATGGTCACAGTGTGGGCTCCARCACTGGGAGCTGCGGACACAGGGAACGGCACAGAGTCCATTCTGGCGGCCAGGGTGTCCGTGGCCCTGGGCAGCCTGAGGGAGCTGCAGGATTCCCTGTCACTCCGGCGGTTTGGGTGCGGGTGACCCATCCCAGGCTTGGAGCTGGTGACTCTCAGAGTCAATGAAGTTGGGACAGGCTCAACCCTCCCTGTATAACACAACCACCTCCAAGCCTGAAGTTACACTGACAATTTCCCAGGAAAGTGCAGGTCTAAAGATGTTCAGCTGCAGGCCAGGCAGTCTGGACGCTGAGACTTGTGGTGTGGGRGAGACCTGAGCTGTGGTGCCCACTGGTATCTGAGCTGGTGGACAAGAACAGCCAGCCTCCCCATTGCCTCTAGGAGCCATCCCCACGCTTCCTGTGTTTTTCTTCTTCACTAACAACCCGTCGCACCCAGGGCCCTGCTGTGAGACCTTGATCCTTGTAACAKGTTCCCAGAGCTGCTGGGGCAGCTTGGGCAGGGCTGGTGGCATCCCCGGGCAGTGCTCCAGCCTGGTGCAGAGAYGTGTGAGACTCGTGTCACAGGGCAGCCCAAGCCTGGTGCCCGGGACCTCTCTCGGAGGCCAGGTCCCAAGGGTGAGCAGGGCAAGGTCGACACCTTGACACCATTCAGGCTGTGAACATGAGAAGCCCTCATGTCATCGTACAGTGCATGCACGTGGCTTGGATGCTGGAGGCTGTTCCCGCTCCACTCCAGGGCCTGTGAGGGACAGGGCCCTGGTGCAGATGTCGCCCTTGGCTCGTGGGCCACTATCGGGGCTGAGTGGCTAGGGCAGAGCAAACAGGCGAGTGTGCGGGAGGGGGCTGGTGCTTGCTTCCCGTGCGGGGCCGAGCGGCTCCTCCTGATCCCGCTGTACAGTTGCTGGCCGTATTTTTAGCCACCGGGGACGTGTGGAGGGTGCTAAGCCCGTAACCTTCGGCCCATTTCGCAGCGCGGCGCTCGGCAGCCGCCCATCTGCAGATCAGCATAATTCGCCTTGTGGTGTCTTTGGAGACCATGTAGGGGAAAAAAGGAGGGCGAAGGAGATGGAAAGGGGAGGGCGAYTTTATATAACGTACTGAAGGTCACAGGAAATGAAGCCCGTGACCCAAAGAGGGGCAGGGAGCAGTTGGAGCTCCCAGTTGGAGTAACAGTATTTCCCTTCTCCAGCAGGTCCTGGCTCACGCAAGGTGCTGGGGCTGTGCCCAGCTGCGGTGGGTCACTACTGAGGGGTCACTCCTGTGCATCCTGTGCTCGCTTGGAGGTGACCTGCGGGCCCCAGGGTCCTTGGAAAACCCCTGCGGTGCCRGCCCTGTGCCGGGACGAGCGGTGTCTCCGCTTCCCTCTGTGCCCTCCAGATCCCTGGTTATTTTGGGGCYGTGCTGAGACTCTCCCTGTGCCCACCCCCTGTCCCTTGTCCCCAGGGGATGCAGAAATGTCCCGTGCAGGCTGGCGATGGCTGCTGCGCTTCGTGGGCCAGAAGCACCTTGGCCTTTGGGGAGCTCCGCGGGGGCGGCTGTGCTCCCGAGGCCGGGTGGAGGAGCCGAGGGGCACATCTGCTTTTGTTGGCCGCTACRCTGCGGGGACACCAGTAGCTCTCATGGTTCCAGGCTGCACACAGGAAAGACTAGGGACCCTGGTGTGCCAGRTTGGGGGACAGTTTGGACAATTCGGGTCCTGGGGCTGGGGAGTATGTGTGGAAATGCTGGAACTTGGGTCACTGCCTCCCCRGGGGCTTTGCTCTGCTCATGCAGTACTGGAGTGTTGGTCATGGACCTCATATGGAGGCCAAGGGGATGCCAAGCCCTGGCCATGAAGCAAAGAGCCTCTTGGTTGAGTTGGGAAGAAATTCCCTTCCATGGAGGAGCCTGACTGGGCAAGGCCAGGACCAGTGGAGGACRCCTCATCCTCCCCTCTTTGGTGAGCTCTGTGTTTTGCCTCAGAGCGAGCCCCAGGTTTTGAGGGCAGGTCAGGACAGTAGCGGAAGGGGAGCCACAGTGGAGGCCAGTGCCCGGGCCTCCCTCGGGCCTCATGGAGGTGTGTGGCCGTGMGGAGCTGTTGCTCCCCTATCCGTGCCCACGAGCTGCGCGGTGCTGCTGGCTCCCGTCCTCGGCCAGGGCAGAGGGAGATGGCATTTTTTTCTGGTTGGCATCTGCTTGCCAGCTGGGGTACAAAGGAATTATTTTCCTCTGAAATGCTTCCCTGGAATGTAGGCATTAGACTTTTCAGGGGATTATTTAGACTAGCAGCAACTGTTTGTAACAGAGACAGTATAGCTGGTGCTACTTTTATTTTTGGCATCTGTTGACTAATGCTAAATCACAGTCAGAGGCCCTATGGAAAGTGCAGATGACTTCTCCTGGACTGTAGAACAAATTCATTGTGTTCCAGCCAGTAACACGGAGTGGCAAATGTTTTCCTAATGAAGGGACATGCACAATAAATAGCTCTTCTCGTGCTGCCTCTGGGGTTGGGCCAGGTGTGCGGCAGCCTGGCCAGGCCCTTCCCGCAGGATCCTGGGGCTGGGAACGGGAGGACCTGGCACCTTGGAGCAAACTGCCCACCCGGTCCCGTGGCTGGGCCGTTGGATGCAGCCGCTCTGTCGCCCCTTCCCTCTCCTCTGCTGCCCGGCCTGGCTGGCCTCCAGTGATGACGGTTCGGACTCTCCTGAGGAAGGGCTGGGGAAAGAAGGACCCTTTTAACCTGCCAAGTGCCCGAGGCCTCTTGCACCCTGAGCTGTTTCTAGTTTTGCCCCTTTCTCTCTCTTTCCAGCTGGGCTATTTATCCGGGGCCGCTTGGCCGGCTTCCTTGCAAGCACCATGGCGCTGCACCATGCTCTCTAGGCTTCCTTGGCCAGCGTGGGCCAGTCGATGCGCTAGCAAACTGCATGGCCCACGGGCAGCAAGCAGGGACCCGTTCTGGGGCCGATGTCCCGGACGTGTCCCCTGTAGCGCAAGCTCTTCCTCCCCAGGCAGCTGCTTGCAGCCCGCTTCTCGCTAGGAGCCTGCAAAGCGAGCGGCCGTCGCAGGGGCTCTGCGAGTCAGCAGGGCTCAGGTTTAAAACTCTTGACGTGGCCTTGAAATCGCCCTTGGCCGCCCGTCCCTGGCGCTCTGAGGGTGCCGTGTAGGGCTGGCCCTGCAGCCCTGGTGAGGTGCGGGCCCCCGGGGCAGGAGGGCGTGCAGGTAAAACTGACTGACCCTCTTCTCATCGTTTAGAGCCCCACATCGCGGCCCCGCGCGGCGCGGAYGATGTCGGCCACCTTGGCGAAAGCCACGTGGCGGCCAGTGAGCCGAGGCTGCAGGAGGAGGACGGGGCCCTGCGCRCCGGCGCCCCGGAGAACACGGTGCTGCTCCCGCCCGGGGCCCGAGCCGCTGATGTGGACGCCTCACGCTCCAGTTCTGACCGCGCCAGCCCTGAGGAGGATAGTGGCATCACCAACGTCTCCGCTACAGTCACTAGCCAGGAGGAGGCTGGTGAGCAGAAGGAAGGGCCAGCTGGAGGCCTGAGCGAGGCTGCAGGAGGCAGCGGGCTGGAGCAAACGGCCGCGGAGGAGGCGCAGGACTCGGCCGCAGCCCCTATGGAGGGGCAGCCATCGACCCYGGGCCACCCTACGCCAGGGATGGCAGGACTGCCAGGAGACACCGTCAGCACTCAACACCACGGTGAACACCAGGATGGCTTCAGTGCAGAGGAGGGCAGCAGGTCTGCGACCAGCACCCCGGAGCCCCRTGAGGGTGCCAGTCGTGAGCAAGGGGCCTCTGAGGAGAAGGAAACGGAGGAGCCTGGAGCAGTGTCTGCTCCTGAGCAGGAAGAAAAAGGGGACAAAGAGAGCTCTGAGGAAGATGAGGAGGAGCAGGAAGAGTCTGAGGAAGAGGGAGATGAACAAGGGGAGTCTGAGGAGGAAGGGGAGCAAGGAGAGTCAGAGGAAGATGGGGGCAAAGAGTCCGAGGAAGGAGAGTCTGAGGAGGAGGGTGCTGGTGGAGCAGGGCCCAAGGAGGGAGCTGAAGGAAGTGATAAGGAAATGGCTAGCGCTTTGGAGGAGAATGGGCATGATGAAGACACAGCTGGCTCTGCCAGCTGCCACCACCCACCCTGTGGAGATGTGGAGCTGGATGCTGCTAGCACCAAGAGCACTAAAGCGATGGAAAATCCCCCTGCAGCAGGCAACCCCCCTGCAGCAGAAAATCCACCTGCAATAGAAAACCCACCCGCAGCAGCAAATCCACCTGCAGCAGAAAACCCGCCCGCAGGAGACAATCCACCTGCAGCAGAAAATCCACCTGCAGTAGAAAACGTGCCTGCGGAGGAGCCATCGCTGAGGGGAGCGGAGAGGCCGCCTGGCCGCAGCGCCGCTGCCGAGCCCCGGCACGGCCAGATAGGTTGGACGCTTTCATTGTCGGTGTGCCTGTAACGTGGCGGCCAGAGTGACCTACTATCAACCYGGCAGAGCTGAGCTTGGCCCATTAAACTGCGCCTAGTGCATGGCCCTCTGCTAATGCTTGTGCTTCCCGTGCCTGCCCCTAACTGCTGCACGGCTGGGCTCCACGGCACAGGCGCTACTTGCAGCAATTCCAAGGCTGGCCAATGCCTCCTTTGCTGTATTTTGAGCTCATCATTCCTCTGCACGTCTCCTGTGGACACGGATGAAAATTTCGCCCCTTTCCCTATGCCCCTTACAGCATCTACAGAGCTGTTAAAGGACGTGTAGCCTATTCACTCAGGCTCCTCCGGACCAAATCCACAGTGCCCTTGGCACACGGGCAGGATGCTGCCTGGGCTGGTGTTGCACCCAGGTACTCAGCCCTTGCCTTCACGAGAAAGATGAGAACAGCTGATCCAGACCACGGTTCTGGCCGCAGACAGGGTGCRTTCAGTCATGGCAAGGCAGGCCAGCTAAGGATGAATGAACCCCCAGGCTTTACTAGAAACACCTGTGGCAGCAGCCTTTGAGCCCTGCTGATTCTTTCTTTTGCTTCCTTCTGTAACATCCCAACTCAATGAGTTCATGTATGTGCCAAAAGGAAACCCAGCTCGGTCTCTGTGGCTTTACTTGGCAAGTCAAAAAGGTCTTTCTCAGCGTGACACTTGGGAAGAATTCAGAGGAGGCTCTTGGGACCATCCTGGTGCTCCAAGCTGCCCCATTTGGCCAGGGGGCCCACAGTCCAGCACAACCCAGCGAGCTGGGGACATCTGCTCACAGACCTGCTTGAAAACCCCAACTAAGGCCTAATTCACCTGCTAGTATCAAAAAGCACTTGGAGCTGTGCTGAGCTCTTGGTGTGCCAACACCTCCGTCAGCGCTCCTCGAGCGAGGACCCCTCTCCCCACATCTCTGGCATGCGGCGGTGTCTGTTCTAGGTGGAGGCAGCCGTGCTGTGGCCTGGGCTTTGGCACAGAGCAGCTTGATGCCCAGGACCACTTCCCTACTGTACTATGCAGAGTCAGGGCCTTAGCGTGCAAGACAGGCACTCACCTGCAAAGGGGCTTGCAGCCTGAGGTGGGAGAAGGTGAAGGGAATTGTCCTCACTTACAAAGGTGAGACCTAGTGAGGCAGCCAGCCAAGCACCAGGCTGGCAAAGGTAGGGTTTGGTCRGCAGGTTTGCTCATCTCCTGAAAACCAGCCCAACTCTTACATCTCCATCTTGATGTGTAATTTTGAAGGGATGGACAGGAAAGGCAGAACAGAGAAAGGCCAAAGTCAAGGCTTAGCCACGCTCCTGTGGACAAGCTGGGGCACAGGCAGCYGCTGGGAAGAGGCTCCAGTGTGTTCAGAGCACTGGAAAGGACAGAGGCACCAGTGGCAGCAGGTGCAGCGTGTGCTCCAGCTGCCCACTATGCAACGGCCTGAATCCAAGAACSCCTTCCAGGCACGTCCTTTGCATTCCTCCCTAGCAGCACTCCCTCGTTTCCACCTCGGGAGACACCGCATGGTTCCCTTGCTGGCTCYTCCGCAGAGCCAGACAGTTGCCCACAATGTTCCCCCCGACTGCCATGGCCCTTGGCAGCCTCAGCGAAGCCTTTAGCAGCGTTCGCAAAACAGAAAGCGAGTGGCGTGCCAAAGCAGCCAGTGTGTTCAGCAGTGGGCATGCCCTCTCCTCAGTYGTAGCTTGTGTGAGCTCCCTGTGGACGCTCCCCCTTCCCATCAGTAACGTGTYCCCTTGCTTTTTCCTGCAGAAGAGATTGAGGAAGCCACCGAGACAACCAAGCGGGACCGGTCCCACTTGGAGAGCACCCTTAAGCTGAACGAAGACAAACCTGCTGATGATTTCTCAGGTAAGGGAGTTAGGGGTTGAGGAAGGCAAAGGGCTGGGACAGCAAATGTGCCATGCAAATCTGCTCCTTTGATGCCAGAGATCTCTGCTAGCCCCTCACTGCGACCCAGCTGGTGAGAACTGAGCTGGCAACCTGCTCTGCTGCACACACATGTGAAAAGGATGGTTTAGTGATTTAGTCTTGTATCTCATGGGTCTAGTACAGGTCCTCGGGAACAGCCTTTGCCTTTTTTCAGTCTGTATTCTTCTCCTGTATTAATACTTTAAAAAATTTAGAGAGTACCCCAAGAATGTTAAAGAATTGTGGGCAAGAGAGGCAGGAGAACCAAAGTTGGCTCAGGTCAACTCCACTGCTGCCTGTCATCCAGAGAAACCCAGGGCAACTTGTAATAGAGGTGTGGGGATTTTATTTGTTTTAATATAAATCTGCTGGTTCCATTGACAATAAGAACTAGAAAGGAGCCATCCTGCTCCTGGTAGCAAAATTCTTTTCTCCTAGTTTAGTTATCAGATTTGGGAGTTGTGTTGACTGTGGCAGGGAGTCCAGTGGCAGAGGCTTCTTTGGCATCGTGGGTGCTGGGTGCTAAGCAGCATTCAGGGATGTTTCTTGACTCAGTTGCTGGCAAGTGCATGAATGGCAGCAGCTGGGGACAGTACTTAGCAGGAAATATTAGTCATGGGAGGGGCATCAAGACTGTGACTGTGATCAGCTGGGCCAAGATTTCAACCCAGAGCTGGAAGTCCCTCACTCTAGATGAGTCACCCTGAAGAACTGCAGAAAATGTTCAGGGGCCTTCCTGGAGGGCTTCCTTCAGGTCATCTGGGATTTACCTTTCACTCATCTGTATGCTTTTGTTCCTGCAGGAGTATTGCAGCGGCTGAGGAAGATCTACCACTCCTCCATCAAGCCCCTGGAGCAGTCCTACAGATACAACGAGCTGAGGCAGCATGAGATCACAGGTAATGCTGTGAGCACTGGGACTTCCTAGCACCATCATGTCGTGGGGCAGCTTTTAGGCAACAGCATAGAGACAGCAAATTGTGGAAAGGTTTGCATAGTTTGTCTTCCTTTGCAGCTTCCCAAGAACGTCATGAGCATGCTAGGCTTAGAGAATATCCTCTAGTGAACCCAGCACTTGTGCACCTAGCAGTAGGCATTCCTACGTTTGCTTTATCCCCCATGCTATCAGGACCATCTATGTAGCATGAACATCGAAACGTGCCAGCTCTGGGTCCTACACCTGCTCAACCTCAGTGCTCTGTATTTGTGCCAAGCAGAGATCGTGACCCAGTGAGGCAGACTTGGCAGCAGGGCTTAGGATCTCGCAAGGCTGGGGACAAGTTCCCTGGGGGTGGCTGGAGCTGGCACCCTTCCTGTTCACTGTGGGACACAGCTAGGAGGACAGGGTATCCCTCAAGTCTGGCAGCTTTCACTGGTTCTGGAACCTAGAGATTCCACCCCATGGCCATTACAGCCATGTGATCAGGTGAGCAGGCCATTGTTGTCATGGTCATTGTGCTTGACATGTGCTTGAGCACATGACTTGTGCTTGAGCTCCAGCGATGTACGCATCCCTCCAAAAGAGGTAAGTGCAACTTGACCTCAAGACAGAAACTTCGGGAGGCTCATGTGATCCATACAACATAGGCAGCCCCATCTTACAAGTAGAAATAGATCAAGCCAGAGTCTGAGGTTGCTGTTAATTGGGTAAATCCTCTGCTTGGGATTAGGCCTCTRCTTGACCACCATCCTGAGCTAATGCCAGAAGGACCACAGGGAGCATATATTCCCCCCACCTTGTACACCTTGGTAGGGTAGGGAGGGGATGCCTGTGTCCARTGGCGTGTTTGCATCAACACCTGCTGGGGGGAGCTTGAAAAGGACCGTGCCAGGGTCCCATCTCATATTAGGGTTTTGTTTTCCTCTCGGCTTTGGCCTCACACACCCTGGAGCAATGCTCCCTGCTCCTGGCACATCAGGTCACCCCTCACCTTCCAAACCACACAGGTCTTCCCTTCACAACTGGGCTTCTTCCTTCCATGAATCCTATGCTCCTAGCACAAGCTCCATGGGACACAATCCCATAGGGAACAACCCCTCTCAGTTCCATTTTGCTGGCACCTCTATTGCAGCCCAAACACAGCTCTTAGATAGCATCAGATTTCTGATATTCTCTAAGTGGCCTTAAACAACTCCAAGTCCAGCTGGTCCATCTGCACCCAAGGCCCTATCTTTAGCTTAGATCCAGCAGGGAGTATGAGGGACCTGTGAACTAGGGACAGGACAGTAGTGTCCCTATCAACACTCCAGGTCTTATGCCTTCTTTATGTAGAGCATCCAGGATCYTGGCACCACCCATGGGTAGGGATTCTGGAGCTGGCTTTTGCAGGTCTTGTACAAAGCCTGGGAGCTGCATTGCAGTCTCCCACARCCAGCTCTGTGTTGCTGCCTTTGCGATGCCTTGGCCTGTCTCATGCTGTGTGCTGCTTCTGGCCACAATCTGCTTGCTGAGTGGGAGGGTAACTGGTAGGGGGATCATCACACCACGCTGCAGCCACTGTGAAGAGGGGGGCTCTCCTTCCAGAGCCTCACCCCACAGCTGCTCCACAGAGGAGACTGTGCTAGGCCTGTCCACTCCCTCACATTCCCAGCATTGCCATGTGCCTTGGAATGAGYTGGATTGTTGTCACCTCCCTACTGTGATGTGCATCATCCCCACAGCCTCTTGAGCAATGACACCAAGCACCAAGGACAGCTCAGCCATGRCCTGTCCCAGCCATCTTCGTTCTGGTGCTCACAGGTTCAGCAGCACTCCAACCTCAGCCCCAAGGTGAGGGTGGCTGCRCCAGCATTCGCGTTGATTGTGAGCCCATATTGCAGCACTGTGTTTAGGAAATAGTTTGAAGTTTCAAGTATTGATTTTTTTTTTTTGGGCTCCCAGCCCTTTCTATTCTCTCCAATGTTATCTTCCAGTGGACAGAGCCCCCAGCCCTGGTGCACAGCTGCAGCCTGTTTTCTTTGTTCAGTTTCCCATGCTCTTCAGCCATCGTATGTCCACCAGCCTGCTCTTTCTTGGGAGCACTCTGACAAGAGTTCATCAGGCCCCTGCTGACTTCTTCCCTCCCAGTCCCTGAAGAAATAACCACCAATCCTTGTGTTTTACAATGCAGAGTCCTCAGTCGCGTCTCCTGACAAAGACTTGCCACAGAGAGCAGTTTCTGTTGTTCCTAGCAGCCCCCTCTGACAGCAGTACTTATTGGCTTGACCCACTTCACCACAAAGAACTGCACAGGGTGCCCCTCAGGCCTGTAGTCCCCCAGGTCAACTCCCAGCTTGAGAGCACTCAGCACCCTCCTGGCAGCACAGATGTGATCATGGTGCTAACTGCTCATGGCCACTTCTGTGAGAGGCCTTGACTGTCTGACTGCAACTCCACCTACTCAAGCCTGTGCAGGTTGCTCCTTGAGCTCCTTAACAGTGAATACAATGAGTCTATGGAGACAAAATTCAGCAGCTTGTCTTCAGCACCCACAAACGAGGCTCTTCTTAACTCCTCATAAGTAGGGTCATTACAGCAGCCTGCAAGTTAGTTAAAGGGGCTCCCTGAGTCACCTCTGATTTTGCCAGCACGGTGAGAGCATAATGGGGTTGTCTTCCCTCATGTGGTACGGTGAGCTGTTGTCCTGCTTGTGCCTTGAACAGGTTGAAAAGAACGACAGCCCCTCGCTCAAAGSGGAGATGCCCCAAGCCTCTCCTCCTGCCCTGACCACCCATGTGCAGGGGAGGCTGGACGGTGCAGAGCTGCCTGCTCAGCTGGCCGGAGAGGAGCGGGACAGCTGGGGCAGTCACAGGGCAGCCGTGTCATGGAATATGAATGACCTTTGAATGTGTAAGTCAATATAGAGGGGTGCTGTCACAAGCACCTTTGCCCCTCCATTACACGGCAGCCCTCCATTTTGTCTCCCTTCCCACAGGCTCTGTTCCGGCCTCTGCTCCTGGGTTGCAGCCATGYAGCTCTTATCTAGGGTTTGAGCTGTGACTGAGGTCCTTCCTGCCATGCCTGCTGGCCAGTGTAATCCAGTGAGCCCCTCTRCTGTGTGGCAGCTCTCAAAACAGCAGCACGTGTGACTGTCACCTGCCCCAGGTGGGCTGTGACRCGCACTGTGACCTGCCTGAGGCTCTCTTTTGTAGCAGCACTTCTTGTCCAGGGGCATCCCAGAAAATTCACCTGCTTACTCTATGTTTAAGCCTGGCAGGTGCTCCCTGCCTTCCTCTGTGTGCCACTGTCCCTGCCGTGCCCACATGGCTGCCGCACTTGCCCCGTCTCTGCTCCGCCATCACACTCGCGTGCGCTTGGGGGTTTGTGTGTGCGCTTGATCACTGTGGGCCACCCTGTTGGCAATGTTCCCAGCTCAGGGCTGAGGGARTCTCACAGTTTGGCGACATGAGCTTGCTGTGAAGTTGTGCCAGGTAGCATTCTTGTACTGGGAACAATCTCCTACCTGCCACCAACAGGTAGGTCCTCTAGGGATGGATACAGGTAACCTCATCCATTGGGGGCTGTCAGGACATTTGTCTAGTTCTCTTGCTGTCCTCTACGTGCCTTGTTCAGCTCTGTCTGCTTGGTGGATGTGGCTAGGAAAGGTGATAACTCTGCTAGGTGGGCAAGAGCTTTGGGATTGAAGGGGCTCTCAGACAAGTGTTAATGTGTGAGACATGTCTTTCTGGAATGCTCCTATAAGCCACATCGCTGGCATGCAGGGCAGACTGGGTTTTAATTCTTATCTCGGTAGCTGCAGGTCTTGTTGCTCACAGACTGTAACTCCTCTCCTCATGGACGTTGTGGCTGTTCGCTGGCTCTTTCTGCCTACAAGAAGGTCGTGGCCAATCTTCTCCTTCTTCAGCCTGGGCCAGACCCAGCCAGCCACATTCCTTCTTTGACTCATGGTACCTCTTCTCTCTCCCCGTGTCCCTTGCTAACAGCTTACCCTGGACGTACCCTGGGTTCCTCTGCCACAGGTTGGTATCGCTGCCTGCTACCTGCATGCTGCCAGCCATGGCCTAATCACTTTGCTGGCCTCCAGCTTTCCTATTTGCCTCTCCCAAAAGAGCCCCACTTCTCAGTCACTGATGAGATGATGCCTGTGTTCACAATCCTGCCGCATCAAGCAGAGCCTGAGGTCCTCAGCACTTTCCAGAGCTCAGCGTGTGCGTTTGCACTTGCCTGGCTCAGCACTGACYCTGCCCAACAGCTCTCCACCCCAACTGCCTCCTTCCCTCCATGGAACGTGTGTCTTAGGGAAAACCTGAAGATCTTCTTGGAAGTCCCCAGCCTGCCCAAGCCTTTAGAGCCTTTTGCTCACAGGTTGTCTCAGGAGGCTGCAGTRCAGGTGCCTCTAGTGGTGGATCAAAGGCTTTTGGGGTGGACATGGAAGTGTCTCTAACGTGAATGCAAGAACCCAAGCAGCACAGCAGAGAGCCCACCCTCCCAGATGCRGTCTCTTCCAGCTCTCCACCCCTCCACATGCAGAACCTTTCCCTACTTCCTAACCTTTGTGCCCCAGCTGCAATGTAAGCCAATGAGGCAGCAGCAGCAGCTGTCCTAGTAACATGGCCTGGCCCCGGCATGGCAGCTGCAGCCCTTTCCAGAGCCAGAGCTGGCTCCTGTCCCTGGGTGTCAAGTTCAGGGTGTGCTGTCAGGTCCCCCTGGGAGAACCAGCCTGGAGAAGCAGTGGGTGGGAGAGTGACCAAGCAGGGCCTGCAGATGACACGGTCATTCCCCCTGGAGTCAGTGCTGGACCTTAGGGACAATGTTTCTGCTGCAATRTAAGACAGCAAAATGACCAGGAAAMTTCAATTTCTGTCTCTCTCGCCTTAACCTGTGGCCCATGCTCAGTGGAAGCTGCTGAAACCAGCTCCTCCAAAGCCTGGCACCAGACATGGCATTGTCCCACCAGGGCCTGGAGGGCCCCTGGTTTCCAGTCATACCCGTGTGCTGACACTGGAGAGGGTTATAGCTTTAATAGGGCTTATGTAGAGAGCTATGCTATGTTGTCTATGTAGATAGCTATGTTATTATGTAGATAGCTATAGCTATGTTCATCCCTAGCAGCACACGCACAACAGTATACACACAGGGAGCACGCACAGAGCAAGACACAGATACAAGCACAGCCTGTGTCCATGATAGCTCTGTGTGGCCTTTCCCTTCATCTGCAGGCACACCAGCACCATGCAGATAGATCTGTGTGGCTTTCGAGGCTGCCCAGCTCACTTCAGAAAGCCTTTGGAGGTCTCTGGGTGGTGCATGTGGTGGGCAGAGTGGCCAGCAGCATTTGGGGTGCAGGGATGTGTTAGCTTGGGGTGTGATGGTGAGAGACAGACTAGGCTTTCTAAACATCTCTATGGCCTGGGAACAGAACAAGACCTTTGTGGCTCTGGCTCGGGCCTAACCAGGAGAAGAAGGAGGTTTTGCCTGTGTAAGCTGCTCTGCATCCTGGGGACAGACCATATGATGGAGTTGTCATTTCCCTTGAAAGGGTGAGCTCATGTCAGCCTTATGGATGAGGCGGGAGAAGACCTGGCCTGGAGTTAAGCCTAGCTCCTGGAAGAGCAGTGTTCCCACCTGAGGGCAGCCTAGCATTGCAAACAGCCTGCTACAGCCTCCCACGACGCTGCTGCTTTAGGGAAAGCTCTCACTCTCCTGGAGTGAGAAGCACTTCTCCGTCCTTGTCACAAGAGCAGAGATTCTGTATCCAAACTATAGCAGCCCAGAGAAACGACTTGGCTTTCCAAACTGCTCTACCCCTGGCTCTGGACAGTAGAAGACAAATACAGCTTCTGCAGAGGGAGGGAGGTGTGATCTTCCTGGCCCTGTCTGCCAGGTGCTTTATGGCACCTCAGCATGTTCCTCACCTCAGAAGCTCATCAACTTAGAGAAGCAGCTGCTCTGTTTAAACCAGGATGACAGATGAAACACGATGGACTACAAGGGGTGAGGAAAGCTCCTGCTTGCATGCAGGGCCTCACCATGCACGAGCGTGAGTCTGGTGAAGCAGGCATCTTTTGGATGTGCTTTCCTGTACTCATGGCTTGAACTGGGATGAACATCCAGCTCTAAGTGAGCCAGGGCTGGGAACAAACAGCCACAGGGTGGCTGGAGAGAGCCACAGTGATGAAGCTGGCAAGATCCCTGCCTCGCAGGGTGCCTTTTTTCCCCTGGACAGAGTCTTCAGGGTGACACAAACTGATGCTGAGGGGACAAAGCAGGGAAAACAGCACCATCTGAGGTGGGAGATGTTCTCCACTTCTCCAGTGGCAAGGAGGGTCTGTGCACGGCCTGATATCCTCTGCAGCCCAGGAGCTGCTGTACAGGCCTGCTTCCCAGAGAGCCACCAATATCCCACATTGGCACATCCCGCACAGGCCATGGGGTGCCAGCACCCACAGCAAAGGACTGGCTGAGGTGTCAGTGACCCTGCAGAAGGGTTGCCCTGCGGAGCTGGCCCGTGTGCCCTGCTGCCTGTTACAACACAGCGYGTTGCCCCTGCAGCGCGTGGGTCAGGGCAGGCGCCAGGGCTGCACCAAGCAGTGCTGCACCCTGAGAAACTTCTGCCATCCGYGAAGCAGAGCCAGGGATCACTCGCCTGCATTCACAGCCACACCTGGAGAGCAGCATGTTATGAAAGAGTGCACAGGGCCTGCCTCCAGCCTCTGGCACAACATCACAGGGGATAATAATAATCCGAAACCCAATTAAAGCAGGCAAGTGAACAAAGCTGTAGTGATACAGCGGCATGGAGGAATGATTAATAACGAAAGCCCAGGATTTCAACATTTGTTTTTGTCCCACATAAGAGCACAAAGCCAGGTCCCAAAGCTTTGGGAGAGACACAACCCGGCAGGCTGTGCCCTCCGCGGCCCAAGCCAGCTCAGCCAGGTGGAGGGGGAGCTTGCGGGAGTGCGTCCTACAGCCGCTGCAACTGCAGGAGCGGTCCTGGAGAGCCCACCGCTGCTCCACGGGGTGCTTCCAGCAAACCAGGACTCCTTCCATGAGTGGCACATGTCATCAGTGAGCTCAAGGATGGGGAACTGAGGGAGAGAGAGGCATAGTTTTGACACGCTTGATCTCTTGTTTATTCCCAAGCAGTTGCTTTGTCCTTGGGCTCGTTTTGGCCAGCGTTCACCAGAGCCAGTTCACGGGTAGGATTCAGGAGTGAGCAGGAGTTGGGGCCATTCCCACTAGTTTGGAGGTGCCTGCTGTGCTCTAGGAGAGAAGAGTGTTTAACTGCACAGACACCAGTTACCCTGTGCTTGGCGTCTGTCCGGAGAGCTGTCTGCAGCCTGGTCCTCCATCAGTGGAGACCTGGTGGAGAGCCTGCTCTTGCAGCCAGCATTGCTGGTGAGGGGGACGCTCAGCCTGGCTCCTGCACCCACGGCCGGGTCCATTGGATGCTGAGCCACCYTCCAGAGCTGTGCAGCGCTGGGTGCTGGAGCGCGGCGCCATATGGGCCCCGGGGGCCCCTCCTCCTCGGCCGCGGAGCCCCAGCTTGCTGGAAAGCTGCTTGGCTCCTGCGTGGGTGGCAGCCATGGAGCGGGGAGGACGGCAGGCGCCGCAGTGCGGTCCCCAGCCCGCGCAGCGGGAAGGGCTCTGCGCAGGGACCCCSCAAAGCGTCGCCTCCCCGTGCCTGGGGAAGGGTCAGCCCTGGATGCTTCCATATCCTCTGGGGGCCTCCAGGCACCTGCTCCATCAAAGCCCTGCAGTGGGACAGGCTCTCTCCCATCCTGAGCACAGGACAGGGAAGCAGGGCAATGATGGAAGGGTTTCTGGGGGGCAGTGTAGTGTGTCTAGGGGCTGGGGTGTGGACCCCCCCATTCCCCTCGTTTACCCAATTCCCCCTGTGCCGCCTTGCTCTTGGCAGCATGCTCAGCACCCACCTGCGGCATGATACCGGGCACGATACYGGGCAAACACAAGGTGTTTCTCAAAGACCAGAAGACAGAGCTCCCGTTCCTGTCCAACCCCAGAGCCAGTGGCAACCTCTGCTCTGTGCAGATGCCTCAGTTTCCCCATCATCCCTTAACATCCATGSCTCCCACCCGCTGAGCACAGCGGGTCCCCTGCGTCGAGGTGGAGTCCTTGGCAGGGCAAGGGGCAGGGAGCAGGATCCCACTCACAACGCTGCGGGAATTACTTCACTCAGGAGAGGTCACACAGACCTGTTGCCTGTGCTGTGCATCCAGAACATGGACAATTGCCTTTTGCAGGATGTTCACTATTCCACAGCATTGTGGACTGGGTTTTGGTTCCCGGTGACATGYAGAATCCATCAGCTACACCTACCAGGCCCTGAATGAAACCTCTGGGGCCTGCCCCATGGACAGCCCTCCAAGAGAACATGTAGATACAGGAGCCTGATGTCTTCAGAGGCACTAGTGCTTCTGCTGGTGCTTCTCTGATACTGCACACGCACAAATCTCTCAGAGCAGCACCACAACCCTTGGGGACATACAGAGGTGGGGACCGAGTCCCAAGGTCCCACTGCTGATCCCRCCTGCATCCAGCAACTCAACCACCGCACATCCCCCCATGGAGTGGACACCCTATGTGCTGCGTGGGGGAGATGCTGTGGCAGTGACCGCAGTTTACTCTGGTCTCCAGCACGCACAAACACGGCCCTCCCGCGCCGTTTCCTGCCCACGTTCGTCCCAGACTGTCTGGCTACGGCTGTGCTGCTGCATGCAACAGCAACAGGGAGGGCTCCCACGAGCACGAACCGATTTGTCCAGTTATTAGCCCTGTTTCTGGCCTGATTTGGGCCCGATCTGACTGGCAGGCTCCCAACCAGCTTCAGCACAGTTTAGGGCTGGCATCGGCCAGGAGCTCCTCCTGCTYGGCCAGCTGCGTGTGCAGCGTCCCGGGGGCTGAAGGAGTTGGGCTGTGTGGTCGTTCTGTTCCGTTCAGAGCCAGGAAAAGGCATCGCTTCCCTGGGCAGTGGTTGTTCACATGCGGGGCTATGGGCAGCCCCTACACATGGGGCCAGGACCCAACGCCCAGGGGACAGATCCCCGGGGGGGATTGGTGTAAACGCAGCGCCCGCAAGCAAGCGCCCAGCACAAGGCTCAGGCCTCGCTTGCCACGCGCGGTGCCGCGCGGCCGCCCCGCTGCTCCTTCTGCACCAGGCACTGACCCCGTCGCAGCATGGCCACGTCCTCTGCATGTCYGGGGACTGCTTCGCAGCGCCCGCCTTCAAGCAAAATCCACCGCCCTCCCCGGACCAAAATTCCCCCCCGCCCCGAATCCATCCACCCCAGCTAACCCATAGCCAAACCAACGCCAAATTTAAAAGGCCTTCAAGTCCTCTCATAGTCTRAAAAGGGGGAAACCTTGGAGGACAAGGTTCAAGCCTACTGTGGGAGCTGGGGAGGAGATGGGGGTCTCCCCCGGTGCACACCAGCTGTGGGCAGCTCCCTGGTCCTGCTCTCTCATCCCGACACCAGCTGGCAGAGCCACGTGGCACCAGTCTGCAGAGCGCGTGGAGCCACAGCCAGGCGGTTGCGCACACGGTGACACGGGTCAACTGGCTGGTGGGCACCAAGAGGGCTGCAAWATCCCTCCGGGAGCACCCACGAGGCTGGGTGAGAGCCTTCCCGCTGCTGCTGCCGGCACCCACGCGCTGCAGCGGCTACGCTGCCCCGGGACAGCCTTGGCTGCGAGCTGGCACCGCGAGCGGCACCGCGGGCGCACACGGTGCCCGGCGCTGCCTGGGCTCAGCACCGCGCTCCGAAGGGCTCGCAGTGCCRGGAAGGTGTCCCCGCGGGACAACGCTTAACGGAGCCCTCAGGCAGCCRCGGCGCCGGCGCGTTTCTCAGCTGGGATGTGCATTCCAGCAGGGAGTTAAAAGCRCGGCAGCCACGGCTATTGTTTGTTCACTTCCTCTTGTTATTTCCCCTCTCCGCAGATGGGGAGATCACTTCCAAGCCCATGGTGCTATTCCTGGGACCGTGGAGCGTGGGCAAATCCTCCATGATAAACTACCTCCTGGGGCTGGATGACACTCCCTACCAGCTCTACACAGGTATCCGCCCCCGCATCCGCGCTGCTCGGCCAAGGGCACGTTGGCTTGTGCACCTCCACACGGCCGGCGGGTGACAGCAGCAAACCCTGGTTGCTCCTCTCCAACAGCCCAGCTGTGGCAGGGAGGTTGGCATCCAGCGCTGCGTTCATGCCGCTCATCTCCAGGGCCAAGTAGAGAGCCCTGGGGCCTGCACATCTCCTCGGGGGAAGAGGAGAGCCCCTCTCCCTGAAGCAGCCCCCTCCTGCAGCACRGGGCTCATTGCCTCCAAGCCGTAGGTGCATTGCAGCAGGCAGCCTGCTAGGCCACAACAGCAGCAGTCCTTAGTGAGGGGAATTCACCCTGTCTTTGCCTCCTCACATGGAAGCAATTAATTCCCTCTCCCAGGAGAAAAGCTCTCCCGCTTCTCTGCTCTCATGGGTCTCGCCTCACAGCTGAGGGCAGTTTTCTGCAGCCTGCTGAGTGAGGGAATAACAARAGCTCCTTGGAGCTATGCTTGAGGTGTTCTCCTGGGCACCTTTAGCATTAGGGCATGTCCAGAAGGGTTAATACCTGCAGAAAATAGCCCTGYTATCATTTTTGAGAGGCTTGGGAAGAATTTCATGGCTCTTCTGACTGCCTCTCACCTGCATCTCTTGGCAAGTCACTGATGCTCCCGACTTTCCCAGCTAGTCCCAGGTGAGCTGCTGCAATTTCCAGCRAGCAGCATGGATTTTAACAACTCTCTTGTTCTTCTTGTTGCTGGGCAGGGGCAGAACCCACCACCTCTGAATTCACTGTCATCATGCATGGCCCAAAGCTGAGGACCATCGAAGGCATCGTGATGGCTGCCGACAGCGCACGCTCCTTCTCGCCCCTGGAAAAGTTCGGGCAGAACTTCTTGGAGAAGCTGATAGGGATAGAGGTGCCTCACAAGCTCCTGGAGCGAGTCACCTTTGTGGACACACCAGGCATCATTGAGAACCGCAAGCAGCAAGAACGAGGTAGGGATTTGCTGCCTTCATCTAAGGGACCCCAGAAAAGAAGCTAGAGTGATATAAGATAACAGAGATGGCTGAAGGGCAGCGAGGAAGAGCTCTAGGCTACAAAAGGGTGTATCCTTACCTTGGAGGGGTGGTTACGTTTGTCTGTGCATGGCTGTGATACTAGCAGCCAGGGCYTGGGGGAAATACCTGATTATCATCAGCTAGAGCTGCCTCTTTCTGTCATCTGGAGACGTGATAGAAAGGAGTTTTTTGCAAAATGTTTCCAGGTGATCCTCAGGCTGTTGATTATCTGCCTCAGCCCATCATTTAGTATCCTATTTGTAGCTCTTGGAGGCAGGATTTGCCAAAGGCTTGTGCTACAGCAGGACCCAGAGAAGCACCACTACAACCCATGGGATGCTAGGATAGCTGACCTGTTTAATGCCCACTGGGGAAAGTAATGACATGGTGCATATCTGCTCGTGCCAGAAGCAGAATTCTGTGGCCAGAAATGTCCTCCCTTCCTATTGCTAGGGAAAAGCAGCCTCTGGGAGCAAGTGTGGGAGTGAGGTGCCTGTCAGTGGAAGCTTTATGCTCTCTCCTAATATCTTGCCATTTCTGAAGTAGAGCAGTAACCCCAAACTTTGCTGGGTTAGACCATCAACGAAGGTCCCAGTTCGGTCTCTCCCCAAAGATCAGCTTGCAGCTCCAGTGCACTATTCACACGGGGGCAGGTCTCCATGGCAAGAAGTTTTGAAATGTTTTTAGCACTTAAGCAACAGAATCTGTGCTGCATGAGAAGCCCAGATAGGTCTGGGTCGGACAGGGTGTAGGCTCAAAGCCTATTTATTCTTTGTCCTCGAGAGATTCATTCGGTGCTGGCCATTTCTGCTGGATTTCTCTCTCTCCTCTTACCAAGGTTACCCATTCAATGATGTTTGCCAGTGGTTCATCGACAGAGCTGACCTTATCTTCGTCGTCTTTGACCCTACGAAGCTGGATGTGGGCTTGGAGCTGGAGATGCTGTTTCGCCAGCTAAAGGGCCGCGAGTCTCAGATCAGAATCATTTTGAACAAAGCTGACAGCCTGGCCACCCAGGAGCTAATGAGAGTCTATGGTGCCTTGTTCTGGAGCTTGGCTCCTCTGATCAATGTCACGGAGCCGCCCAGAGTGTACGTTAGTTCCTTCTGGCCCCATGAGTATCAGCCAGAAACCCACCAAGACTTGTTCCTTAAAGAAGAGATATCCCTCCTGGAAGATCTCAACCAGGTGATTGAGAACAGGATGGAGAATAAGATTGCCTTCATACGCCAACATGCCATCCGGGTGCGCATCCATGCCCTTTTGGTTGATCGCTACCTACAAACCTACAAGGACAAAATGACCTTCTTTAGCGATGGAGAACTGGTGTTCAGAGACATTGTGGAAGATCCTGACAAGTTCTTTATTTTTAAGACCATTCTGGCAAAGACCAATGTCAGCAAATTTGACCTCCCCAACCGTGAGGCTTACAAGGACTTCTTTGGCATCAATCCCATCACTAGTTTTAAGTTGCTGTCCCAGCAGTGTTCCTACATGGGAGGGTGCTTCCTAGATAAGATCGAAAAGGCCATCACCCGTGAGCTTCCTGATCTCTTGGGAAGCCTTGGCTTGGGGAAGAAGCCCAACGTTCTCTCCTGCGATGTTACTGGCTGTGGCGAAACCCCAAAGAATCGCTACAGGAAACCATAGCGTGCTCTGTAATACAACCATCCATGTGTTCCTACTGGTGAATGAGCTTATGTCTTATCTGTCCAAGAAGCCATGGTTTATTAACCCTTAGAGAGCCGCACTGGCAAAGGCTACTGTACAAAGAGGACCTTGAGTCATTGACATCAATGGCAGGGAAAGTTGGGTGGGCATAAGAAAGAGAATAAAAACTGTGAATTCCTGACATTTATCTTTGTTCTTTCAAATAGAAGGCAATGTTTAAGCTGTAAGTACAAGCAATGCATGGTGAGCTAGAACTGTAGCTGCTTTTTTATTAGTGCCAAGTTTCATATGTGTGAAGAAGAAATTCAACCTCTGCATGCACCAAGCCAGCAGGGGGCAAGAAAGAGGGCATGGCGTGAGGGCACAGAGGAGAGTGTTGGCACAGTAARCCAGAACCACCAGCGGCCCTGGGGGCAAAGCACTGGGCAGGAGAGGCCAGGGCCCAGTTGTTGTTTTCAGGCCCAAAACGAACAAAAAAAAAAAAAATCCTACAAATCTCAGCAATTCCCATCTTGTTTTCTTTTCCAAGACTTTTAGGATATCCCATGGCATTCTTCTTTCACATAACAGTTGGACTTAACTCTGCAGCCTTCACCTGGGTGTTTCCCTTCTGCATTATGAAGGATTCAGCCCCCCAGCTGGCCGTTTGCAGGAGCATTTGTAGCTCTGGAGAGGGAGCTGTGGTGGGGTTTGCAAGTCCACGTTGGAAGAAGAAGTGGCCTGGAAGGAGCCGTCAGAATTGGCTGAGATTTGCTTGAGGAGCAAGGGAAGCAGCCCAAGTCACAAAATACTGCAAAGATCCCTGAGCAGGTCCCCTCTCTCTGCACTGGCCCAGAGACCGGGTGTTCAGTGTCCGCATGTGCCATTAACCTCAAAAATCCCATGCTGGCAATCAAGCCTGAGTGTCAGTAGGGCTCAGAGCGTTAATCGTTTGGCAGTTTGACGTTGTTTAAGTCAGTGTTGCATGCTTTCTCCAAGTTAGATCCTTGTGTTTTGGGTTTTTGTTTTGCTGTTTGAAGGGAGAAGGGAATATCCTTTTACTAGCTGAATCCCTTCCCCTCTCCGCTAATCCGTTTTCCTTAGGATATTACGGAAGTTTTCTGCAGATTGTTCTCTGTACATCCCCCATTTTTAGCTGTGAAGCCATTGGCTCATCTCTGCACGTCAGTGCTCGGTCCTGTGAGTTGCAGGCAAATGACCTTCCAAAGCACCAGACGAGGTCCAGGTGTTGACCTGAGTCAAGCACAGAGCAACCAAGCAGGTTGATGTTGCCCTGGATGGAAACCTGTACCTCAGAGCATGCCAAGGACCTGCTGAACAGCGTTTCTCCTCCCTCCTGCCAAGCACGCCACAGCTAACTGCTCTCCAGAGACTTCTGCAGCCGAGGAACTTACTTTGACAGGAACAAGAAGACATGGAGGTGCTGGGTGAGGCAAGAAAATGGCCAAGGAAACAGAAGAGTGAAAGAGAAAGCTGGAAATGGAAGGCTCTGTCGTGATGGAAAGGGCYGAAGGGCAGCACCTCTGTCCTCCACGTGGCTGCCCTCATGTAGGCTAAGGCCAAAGGCTGGTGCCACCCTCTGACTGTGGGGTCCGTGTGTCCCCAGCACTGAGGCTGGGTGCTGCAGAGAGATTCCCCTCAAGCAGCCTGGGTGAGTCTGGGGGATGCTGCCCCAGGGGCTTCCAATGTTCTTGGCCTCTCCTTTGAGGTAGGACTKTGTGTATAGACTAATGAAGGGAAAGCACAAATCTACGTTCAAGTACTGGGATTTGGCAGGTTTTGTGCAGAGGGATGTTGCTCACGGTGCAGAGAGGACTGCAGGTAACGAGTGAAGATAGGAAGAGGTGTGAGAGAAAGCAGCAGCCAGGATGGCATACAGAGAAGTGATGCACTCATGAGTCAGTGCAGAGAGGTCTCAAACTTGCCCTAGAGCTGCTGCCTCCTTTCGCTTTTATTCTTTWATGTTTCTTTTACATTATCCCTCTCCTCCTTATCCCTGTCTGTCTGTCTGTCTTGCCTACTCTTTCTTGCCTGTCATTGTCCTTCGTCAAGCTCGTTTGCATGGTTTTCTTAAGAGATGGTGGAATAGAAACACTGACAGAAATGTGCTAATATTGTCACAGTTGCTGCCATCACACTGTGTGTCATTGTCACAGTAAGCAAAGCCTATCAAACTTTTCTACTTCTAAGTGCCTTATTTTTCCTTCTTTTTTTTTT